TTAAATTAGGTTGGATAATTTCGATCGAGCTTGACCGAATAACTAAGACATTGAGACGAACAATTGTGGAGTTGCCTATTTCGCTACCTTCATCATTTCATGGACAGAACCGATCGGTGGAACAGTAACAAAAAATGTTGCAACTATGTCAAAATTTTGACAATTATGGCTTCGTTTGTAGGAAATCCTACAAACTGTCCCTTTAACTCGCTTTTCATTTGTCATTCTGCACGATGACAATTGTGATGAAGACAATTGGAAAGAGAATGAGAATAAGCCGTAAAAAATGGGAATAATTAAAATAAAAAAATATGGACAGTGTTGCCAGATTTGTTTCGAGAATTATTCATTGAATTGAATGTGGTGATACTTCATCAATGAAGAACGGTTTAAAACGGTTTATAACGGTTTAAAACAGAGATTAATGAAAATTGGGATGAAAAATTTAGTGTATATTTGACTATTGACATCTATTTAAAAGTATTAGAAAAAATTGATGGAAATATAATATTTTCATGAAATATAATTAGATATCACGTTTCTTTATTTACAAATTTGTAAATTCACAACCTGAATTATCTTCATCCCATAAATGTATTTGCACAATAAAGAAACACATTATGCGTTGTAAATTATTTCTTGCAAAATTCATCCATTTCGAAATTTTTGAAGTCAAATTTATTTTTTTACCATACATATTTTGTTTTTCGTGTGATACGATGTTATTTATTAAGGCGAACTCACTGAATTGCATTTTTAACGATCGAAATTATTTATTGTTATAAATTGTCAATAAAATTGATACAAAGTACAAATGACTTAATGATATATATGTTAGTATTAAGATTTTATGAGTTTAAAATATTGCTCATTCGTATTTTCTTCCATTCTGATTGCCGGTGAACTTGTAGATTAACCATTCCTTTGCTGATTTCGACGATCCTTAAATATCATTTAGATAGAAATCGATACTCCGAACGACCCTTTCCTCAACAAACAAAGTTCAACATACCCGACAGAGGATAAAATTGTTCAAAAACCTTCAGAATACATTAAAAAAAATCATCGAAATCGGTGAGAGAGTAGTCAGTCTACACTTCCACTCACTTTGCCTTGATTATTGCGCATAATGACAAAAGAAAAGCGAGTTAAAGGGACACTTTAATGGGCAAGTTTCAGTTTTTCTGACAAAAGCATAGTTGCCAAGTCCTGGAAGTCTCACATGGTTTGCCATATTTCTGTTACTGTTCTGTCCGTCTACTCGATGAAATGGTTAAACTAGCGAAAGAAGCGAATTAGAAGATTTTTCATATGTTTGCGAATCCGCCCGAACTCAAAATTATCCTATTCAACCCGAAGTATCGACCGATCCGCGAATTATTAGAATTATTTGGGCAAATTTTTATTTAAATAATAAGTAATATACAATAATCAAAAGTATAATTCTTATTTAAATAAAATTTAAGTAGAATTAAATAAAATCATTTAAATGATGTAAAAAATAACATAATCCATATTT